GGCTTCTCCACGAGTGCCCCAAGCCGGAATACTGGCTCAGGCCCCCCAGTGATGGTCAAACGGCCTCCATGGCCATCATTACCCAGAGCCCATTGACATTAAGTCCAATTCCTCAATGGAATAGCCCCTTGTCCCTTCCAGTTTAGAAGTCCACTCTTCCTCCCAGGAAAAACACCACATCCCTTCTTCCTGCCCTCTCAGCTCTCACCTGACTTACAGTTAGGAGCTGAAAGACATATTGTGAAGGCAGCGAGTGGTCAAGCTGAGGTTATCAGCAGCAGTACATTCCCTAAAATACTTACTCTTCTGGTTCTCCTTAGGAAGCAGAAATATCCTCCAACATTCCTTAATTTGTTTTTTACATGATGAAGTATTTTAACCAGAGAATGGGGGTTTCATCACTGCATTACTGCCAATGCTTCTGAAAATATTCTATCCTACATTCTCAGAGGAATCACTGCTCTTGCCCCATGTTCTGACTGACATTCTTATCTAGATGTAGAATTTGAGATAGGAAGGCTTGTCACTTCTGTGGATTATTATTTAACCATGTCTTGTTTACATAAAACAGCATCCTAGAAAATGAGTTTGGACTGGTTTGTTTCCTGACAGAGATCAGATTATTGACAAAATATCCAATAATTTATAACCTGCCTTGTAACAATTGTGGCTATTCTTTTAATGCCCTGATATGTGCCAGGCACCAAATTACATCACTTCTTATCCTCACAACAGGTAGGGACAACACAGGTTAGAGAAGTCAAATAACTTGGTCAAGGTTAAGTAACAAATACATGGTAGGGATTTGAACCCATGGTTGTCTAAACACAAAGCATGTGATTAGACCACTTCATCACCTGCACTTCCTGTTGTTACAGTTCTTGAGACTGGTTCTGCCTCACTGTGGTTCCTGTGGCAAGCTAAGCTTCCTACAAGAATTATTGGATTTTCTCAAAAGCACACCATGTTCTCTGACCTTGAAAGAGTAAAGCAATATGAAGGGCTTCTGGTATAGATAACGAGAAGGATCGAAAGGGGCTTTGACAGGAAGATGGAGCAAACATACTCATCCCTAGTTCGCCCATGGGTGCAGCTAAAAACCATGAGCATTCTATTTAAAACAAGAGCAAGAAGACTCTGAAAGGTAAAAAGAAGTAGTTAAGCAGGTGAAGGATCTCAGGATCCAAGGAATGACAGGGTGGTGAGTTCTTGGACATTCTTTTTTCCTCATATATTTTTCCATCTATACTGGAGAAGCCAACAGCCTGGAAACACCAACAGGCAGAGACCAAAAACAAACAAGCAAGACAAAAACACCAAAAAACCAAAAACAAATTAAAAAACCCTCTAGCCTTCCGAGTAGCCGGAATTACAGGCATGTGCTACCACACCTGGCTGATTTTTTGATTTATTGTAGAGATGAGGTCTCGCAGCCCAGGCGGGTCTGGAACCCGCGGGCTCAGGCAATCCACTCACCTCAGCCTCCCAAAGGCGCGGGATTACAGGCTGAGCCACCGAGCCCGGCGTAACTCCTCTATTTTAGCCAAATACTACCTCCCTCCTTCCCCCTAAAAAACTGTGGTCACATTCCCACCCACACCAACAAAGACCAAGTGGAGAGCCAAGATGGTAGCAAGCACCTCAACACCCTCGCCAGGATGGTTTCAGAGAGGCTGAGTGTGGAGGCTGGACTTTCATCTTTGCTGGATGGCAATCCTCACAGAGATGGTGTCAGAGGAGGCCAGGGGAGTGTCAGGACTTTCCCACCACAGCTCAACAGTACTGAGGCCAATCCCAGTAGTGTCAGCAGAGATCAAATGAAGAGCAGTATCCCTCCTCCCCACAGCCGGAGTTATATTAGCTTCAAGGAGCAAAACATTATTGAAACAAATTTAAAAACTACAAAGAATTAGCAAGGAAATCAGAAGTCTCAGCAAAGACACAGAAGACAGAAGAAGAACCAAGTAGCAATTTTGGAACTAAAATATATCATAACTGAAATTTTTTAAAAACTCAATTGACAATCTTAGTAGCAGAATGGAAAGAATCAGTGAATTTGAGGACAGAATGGTAGAAATTATCCATTAACAACAAAGATAAAGTAGACTGGGAAAAAAATGAACAGAACCTCAGAGACCTCAGGTACTATAACAAAAGATATAAAATTTAGGTCATCTGACTCCCAGAAAGCAAAGAAAAAGAAGGTGGGGCTTAAAAAAGTACTTGAAGAAATAATGGCTAAAAACTTTTCAAAACTGGCATAAGACAGAATCAAGAATCTGAATGAGGCGGGGCTTGGTGGCTCAGCCTGTAATCCCAGCACTTTGGGAGGCCGAGGTGAGTGGATTGCCTGAGTCCACGGGTTCGAGACCTGCCGGGGAACTTGGCTAGGCCTCATCTCTACAATAAATAAATAAATAAATCAGCCGGGCGTGGTAGCACATGCCTGTAATTCCAGCTACTCCGAAGGCTGAGGCAGAGGATCACCGGAACTCAGCAGGTCAAGGCTGCAGTGGCCAGGAGCGTGCCACTGCACTCCAGTCTGAGCGACGGAGTGAGACTCCAACTCAAAAAAAAAAAAAAAAAAAAGAATCTGAGTGAAAACCAAACAGGATAAACTCAAAGAAATCCACGCCAAGACACACCATAGTTACACAAAAAAGAAAAAGAAAAACCATCTTGAAAGTAGCCCGAGAGAAATGATACATGAGCTATTAGGGAAAAACAATTTGAATGACAGAGGATTTCTCATAAGAAGCCAAAGAGGCCAGTAACAAATGGTGCAACATTTCCAAAGTGCTGAAAGAAAAGAACTGTCAAGAATTCTATATCCAGAGAAACTATTGTTCAGGGGTAACATTCTCAGATGAAGGAAAGCTAAGAGAATTTGTCACTAGCAGACCTATCCTCAAATAATGGTTAAAGGGAGTTCTGTAAAGAAAAAGATAAAAGAAGAAATCTTGGAACATCAGAAAGAAAAGATAACAAATAGAGCAAAAATATTTTTTAAAATACAATAGACTTTGCTTCCCCTCCTGAGTTTTCTAAATTTGGTTGATGATTACAGCAAAAATCATATCACTGTCTAATGTGGCTCTAACAGGATATGCAGAGGAAATATCTAAGATAATTATATTATAAAGGGAAGGGTAAAAGGAGGGGTAAAAGTTTCAATATTTTGGTGGAACTAAAAAATGATACCAGTAGATGGTGATAAATATGCATGTAAGTATGCCAAAAAGCTATGTAAAGAGATATACTCTAAAACACTACAAATTTATCAAAAAGGAATTCTATAAAATCTACTAATAACCCACAGAAAAGCAGGAGAAAGTCCAAGGAGAGGTTGAAGAGAGGAATGACAGCATCTTTACCTCTTATGCCAGAGTCACTCTAGTGCCAGCTGGATCCTTTTCACAGGGGACCACAGTCCATCTGCTGCTCTGAGGGTACATTTGGGGTGAGACAGGGGAGGAATCCGCCAGGCTCTTCCACAGAGCTTTGCCTAAAGTGGTGGGTTGGTGAATGTTTGTCCTGATGCTCAGGAAAGACTCTTCTCGGCCCACAGGCTGACCTGCCAGCATACCCCAAGGGGCTCTTGTCAAGGCTCGGGTCTTGTTCACCTTCCACATAGGGGAGACTCCCTCCCGGTGGAAGATGGCACATTTACATTCTGATTACAAAAGCCAACAGGCCTGCTTTGTGTGCAACCTATACTCCTGGAAAAATGGAACTAAGATGGCTTTGATAAAGGATTAATGCAGCTTGGGCAAGAAGAAGCAGGTGCAGCAACTTGGAGCAGTGCCCCAAATGCTTAAATAAGCTGGGTGCAAAATCAGTCAGCCTTGGTAAACTCTACCTACCATATATAAATACTTATTTTAACAGGCATCTTTAGTCTTAGAAATAGTAAGAGAAAATAAATACTGAGTTCCAGAGTTATTGAACCTCCTTAATTTTTTGAGGAACTGAAGCCCTGAATCCTTCCAGGCAGGAAAGTCCCCAAGCCTTGTAGTAAACATTTCATAAGATGGGCTGGCCCTGTGTCTCTGGCCTCTCAACTTTGTGTCTTTTAGAAGAATGCTTCTGAAAACTTTCCATCACAGCTATTTATAATCTGTATGCTTTATAAAAAGAAGAGAGAAAAGGTGTCTGGGGAGGGTAATTGTACATTACATGGCATTCATTATTCTATATGTAATTTTTAATCAGATCAACATAAAAGCATCTTAATATATTCAGTAATGGCACTGGTAACTTTAAATATTAAAATCTACATTAAGAAAAAAGGGAATTTGATACACTGTCTCCATCATAAGCACAATCAACTTGGCACACACCTCAGATCTTTCTCTTCAATCTCCCATGCACTTTTCTTCTTCTTTTTTTTTTTTTTTTTAATCGCCCAGTTTGGAATGCAGTGGCATGAGCATAGCTCGTAGCTCACTGCAACCTCAAGTGACTCCTGAGTTCAAGAGAATCTTTCACCTCAGCCTCCTTACTTCTTTCTGCTCCTTCTCCCTCCTCTCACTCCCTTACTCACGACATAACAAAGAACAGGGTTGTAGGGGAGTGGTCAGAGCCAAGGTTTGCCAAAAAAAAGAAAGAAATCTGATTACTCCTTCTCCTTCTACAGACTCAGATACCTAAATCTTTTTATAAAAGTAAAAGAGAACCCAATTCTCTTTTACCCAGAAAATTGCTTTTTATGTTTGCCCTGTCACTAATAGATTTTTCTGTTGAATTCTGATCCGTACCCTAGATTCCTAAAAAGCGTATCTGCAGTGTCAGGTCAATTTCCCTGAGTTTTTGGAAACAGTTTTCCTTTCACCAAAAGGCAAATAAATAGTCCGCGGAGGCTTGTCCTTCCATGAGCAACTTCCCAAGAGCAAACCTGTCACTTGTAAATACTCAAGAAGGTTGCAGAAAATTTAGGGACAGGGTTCCATAGCTTCTTATATACTGTTACATTTGAAATTAATGCCACATACAATGTGTGTATGTCCAAAAGTCATTTGACAACGTCGGGGCGTGGCAAAGGAGGTAAAGGCCTAGGAAAAGGGGGCACCAAGCGCCACCGGAAGGTCCTGCGCGACAACACCCAGGGCATCACCAAGCCCGCTATCCGGCGCCTGGCCCGCCGCGGCGGGCTTAGGCGCATTTCCGACCTTGTCTACGAGGAGACCCGCGGGGTGCTCAAGGTGTTCTTGGAGAACGTGATCCGGAACGCCGTTACCTACACCGAGCTTGCCAAGCGCAAAACCGTCACAGCGATGGATGTGGTCTACGCGCTCAAACGCCAGGGCCGTACCCTGTATGGCTTCGGCGGCTAAACATTTTGGAGTTCTGTAATAAAGGCCCTTTTTAGGGCCCCCTCAAAAAAAAAAAGAGATACACTCTAAAATACTACAGATAAATCAAAATTGAATTCTATAAAAGGTATAGAATTCTATAAAATATATAATCTGGCTCTTTCTGCCTTGAGCTGATCAGTGAACACTAAAATCCATGCTAATTCTCCCAAGCCACTTGCCTGCTATGCAGGTCACTTTCCACTTTCCCGTTGACTGCAGGAAAAAAAAAATACATCATTTCATAACCATGGTCCTAAAGTGTTCCTAGCAAGCTTGCATTCCTCTTAGAGGTGGGCTGGTGTTTATTGTGTTAGTCCATAATGCTGCAACTTTATACTGGCACAGGAAGCTAGTGGTTTTCTAAAGTATCCCTGAAATTCATTACCATGGAAACAAAAGGTATAAAAAGATGTTTTTATCTAATAGGAAAACCTAGAGGAACTCTTAAGAGAGATCAAAAGTGTTTTCAAAGTAAAGGGATAACCAGATGCGCTATGGCTTAGGTTAAAGAAGCCTTGGAATGAAATCTCAAGGCAGGTTAACAGAGGAAGGAGGAGTGCGTAGTGACAGTGTAAAGCATGTCAGCACCTGCCACTGGGAGGTGCTGAGGCTGGGTTAGGGAGGAACAGGTGAGGCTACTGGCCAAGTCTGCCCCAAAAAGTAGCTGAAAGAACCCAATTCTCTTCTTTGGACAAGGTACAGAAGATAGGGTTAGAACTCTGGTCTCTCTCCAGTTTATGTGAAAATAAACTGTCTATTTAAGATTGACAGTATCCTACAAAACCTGGTCCCAATATATCCACCCAACCATTCTAGACTAGACTGAGGAGTAAATGAAAGAAACTTAACACAAATGTGTTCATTTTGTCATCCATCCGTTTAATCTAGAACTGGATCCCAAGTGTTGAGGAAAGGCTGTCAAGGTCATCTTTTAGTTTGGAAAAGGAGGCGACACAAACCACATGTATGTATTTTGATGCTTCCAGTGTTTTCTGGAAGTCCAAGTAATTTAACCACATCCTGCCATCAACTTCAAAACACGACTGTAGAAAGATTCCTCTTTCCATGGAAAATTTTCTATGCATAAACAGTTCTGCCCATCCGTAATAACACAAACTCTTCCCATCCAGCATCCTCCTCAGAAAACATCTGGAATAAAAGGAAGCTCCCATCAATGCTGCTTAAAAAAACAATACAAGTTTCCCAACGTGCAAGTTTCCCATTGTCCCTAGAAGCCGCGTGGTCATTCCAACAGCAGGGAGGGGGGACATGGGATAGTCAGACTCCATCCCCATAGGAGGCCATTGTGCACCATAGACACACTAGCCAGCCCGTGTGCCATTCCAGCCACCCACAGACTGAGAATGAGGCTAACAGCTCAAATCCTCCATGTTAGTGGTTTAATTTTGCTGCTCAATGACAATCTTTTCTAATGGCAAGGAAAAATGATTTTAACTTAGAATAGAGTTAAACCAACAGCAGGAGTATGTTTTGAGAAAGGAAACCACACAGAATGATTTTGAAAATATACTGTCTGAAAGGCGGTACAAAGCAATAATTGAAAGCATGGACTTTTGAGCCCATCAGACCTCAAATACCACCTGGCCACTTACTTTCTGGGTAACCTTAGATAATCCCCATTTCCTCATCTGAAAACATACCTATCTGACAGAACTGTATTAAGGATCAAATAAGATCAGACGTGTTACATGTTTAGCACAGTGACTGGCATGTAGGAAGCTGTCAAGAGATGTTAGCTCTTGTACCATTTCTATTAGGAGCAGGTGATGTCCATCCCAGAGAACTCAAGGCTCAAGAACAACACAGATCTTCAAACATCTGAAGGTCTGTCTCATGGAAAACAGATTCACAAAAAGACAGGAGGATTGGGTGAAGAGATATGTCTAACTCAAATAAGAGGAACACAAGACAGCATTGAATCGCTACCTATCAAGGGTCTTCCTTGAATAGATTTTTGGTTTGGATGAAAAGGTATACCAGAAGACTTCAACAATCCCTTCCCACTCTAAGATTCCACGATTCTGAGTATTTGGAGGACTAGGAAAAACAGTCACTTTTTTAAAAAAAAGTATTTTCTGCCAAGTTTCCATAAAATCTTTACAATGTCCAAATGTCCGTGAATTACATGAATGGGCATTATCCATTCTATTTGAAAACAATGGAGTTCCACTACTGAATTTAATTCTGAGTTGTTTAAAACAAAGTACAATGCAAAACTGTACTTTTCCTTCATAAGAACCATTTTCTAAATGGGCCTAGATCCTTCGGAGGTAATTCTCATGCTATAGATATTTTACTTCAAAATCTAAACTTGTACCACTGTACTAGAATGAAATGTCAATGGTATTAGCTTAAACATCATTAAATTTTAAAATAGAGTTAAAATAATATTTATTAATCAATCCCATGCCACTACAATATTTTAGATTGCTGATTTAGTATCTGAAAAAAATGTATCACATGGTATGCACTATACTGATCAGTAGAGGTTGAAATATTTAAGAGTAAATATAAAACTAAATTTTAAGCATGTGCTAAACCCACACTATTTCACATATAGACCCTTGGCCCCAAACAACCCCAAGAGAACACTGGCTCAGATCAGCATGGAGCTGACAGATGGGGCATTCAGTAAAAAAAAGTAGTGCTGGGTTATTTCATTTTCGTTAGAGAAGGAAGCTGTGGGAAAAATATTCTCCACTTAATCTATTTTATTTTCAGCAAGGTTTTACCTGTAAATATTAATTTATACACCAGCAAAACTCACTAGCTGCTAGAGCTGCATGAATATAAATGAAATAAAGGAATCCAAACTGAAAAAAATGAAATTTGCTGTATCTTCCAAAGATTTTAAATTCCATCTCAGTGGTTTCAAAGACAGCAAAACATCTCACATTGAGCTCCCATTTAAATAGGTGGGGTTATGAGGGTAAAAATTACAAGTTAAAGCACTGCAGCACTAAGAAGAAAAACATTCACTTATTCCATTTACAATGCAGAACTTATTTCCAAATCACTCAAAACCCTTTACATTCAGACTCTTGTCAAATCTCCAAGTTTTTACCTGCTGATATCTAAGACCACCCTGTGAAACAAAGACGGTGCAGGTTTGAATACCCACAGTTTACTCAAGGGTCAAGAAAACAGAAAGAAGGAACTGTGAGCCCCTCAAGAATGGTGACTTTTCTTATTCGAATGAGGCGAATAAAGTCAGTTCACTGGTAATGCATTTAATTTCTCTCTTAGCAATCGTGTCTCTACATTCAATGATAATAGTATAGACAGTCAAAATATGCAATGAAATAAGAAATCAAGGACAATTTTTTATCTTATGTTACATGGATTCTAGAGTGTAAAGGATGGGAGAAGGCGGGAAGGAGGGTTTCATAGCCCATCCTTAAATCCCCTAGCAATTTACCCCTTCACTGTTCCTACAACCTTGAGGAAGAGGGCACAGCATTCTGCCTCTGGATGCCCTAGCTCTCTGGCTTGGATTTGAACTGAAACTCCGGTTTTGTGTTCAATGGGAGTTGGGAACATAGTATTCCAACCCTCTTCATTTTGAATCCTCCTGGAAGAAGCCTAAAGTAATCCTTTGAAGTGATCTCATAGCAGAGAGATACTGTGAGAAAGGAAACCAGTTTCTACTTCCTTCCAACCCACATAACTGGCATCAGGTCAAAATTTCGTGGGATTCCCAGGCTTGGAAGACCTTTCTTCCTCTCCCAGCTACTCAGTTTGCATACACCTACCCATCCCTCTAAGGCCAACCCAATCCCACATTACCGCACAACGCCTTGTGCTATGGAATGAATGTTTGTGTCTCCCCAAAATTCCAATGTTGAAATTCTGACCCTCAACATGACAGTATTTGTAGGTGAGGTTTTGGGGAGGTGATCAGTTCATGAGGGTGGGCCCTCTTGAACAGATTGGTGGCCTTATAAGAAGAGACAGGGGACAGTTTTGTTTGTTCATTTTTGTTTTTGTCTCTCTCCACTATGTGAGGAGACCAGGAGATGACCATCTGTAAACCTGGAAAAAGGCCTTTACGAAAAACTTACCATGCAGATCCTCTGATCTCAGACTTCCAGTCTCCCAAACTGTGAGAAATAAGTGGTTATGGTTTAAGCCACCCAGACTATAGTATTCTGTCACAGCAACCCAAACTGACTAAGACATCTCGGCTGATAACTGCAGCTTCCTCAAAGGAAGTCGGCTTTTCCTCTGAATCCAAGCACCACACGGTAACCCTCATGACACTGTTTTATTTTGTTCCTTGTTAAGTTACAGGTGTTAGTGACTTCCACTCAACTAAATTATAAGAAACATGTAGGCTCTTCCCTAAGATCTTCTACTTCCTGCATATTATCCATTAGAATGTTGAACACAGGCATATATCTATGGGATGCTGTTGGTGGGTTGATTGAACATTTTAAATATTACTTGCTTACCTGTTTCCCTCACTAAGTTAAAGAGTAAAATGCTAGCATCTATTCATTCTATTCTACTTCTATTGGTGGGGAAAAAGAGAGAGAGAGAGAGAGAGCTCTCACACTTACTGGGTTTAAAAGGACCAAGCACCATTCAGCATTGTCTCGCAACATTATGACAGGACTCTGTCTTATACATGTACCTAGGCTACATTTACTCTGCACTGTGTAAATATAATCTATCTTTCCCTGTGAAGTCCCTTTACATTTGAACAAATTATCCATATTTGATTAAAGTGAAAATTTACGAGGGCATAATTAATATGTTTGAATTATTCACATTTTAAACAGGTGGAACAAGATAAGACATAATATGAGTCAAAATGTAACACATTTCATTCCACTGTTTTTCTGGTTGTCCTAAGATGAATGTGACTTCCAGAGCAAGCACTTTGGGATTCTTTTAGTGCTTTCACTTCTGACATCAGTAGATGTCAGAGATGATAGAATTAGTATACTCTAGGCCAC